TACGCGGGAGCGTTAATCCGTATTGTTTTTTTTCCAGCAGATCGTGCGCGAACGCGGACCGGTTTGTGTAGAACAGTCTGAAAAAGAGATAGAGAGAACGAGTGGGAAAGAGGCAGAATAACGGATAGATTTATTCTGTTGCGAGCTGAAGAGAGAGCGAGAGAGAGAAAGAAGAGAGAAGATCGCATCGTATTCGAGCTCGTGCGTGTGCGTCGGGCGTTTTTAATGCGTGTTACCCGGCGGAACCGCAATCCGCTTTTGCGGCGGATGCCGGTGCTGTCCACAGCCCGCCGGTTGGCGGTTTCCGGTAACGCGCTTTGGCGCAAACCAGCAGGCACGCCTGATTTCGAAATTGCAAAACATTTTCACACTCTTGTGGTTCCAACGCCGCCTGACGGGCCCCCGCCTTCCCTCCCCCCTCCTCGCTACCCTTTCTTCCCCCGTTCTGCCGTTGTACGCACAGTGCCACCTTCCGCTCCCTTTGCGTTTCCCGATTTTTTTTTTTTTCGTTTCTCTACACACGCGTGCACATCGCGGTTTAAAATCACGCATACTCCTAAAGCGTGCTTCGCGCGCCCGAAAAACTCGCGTCATCGCCGCGCGAAAACGCTCCGCGTGTTCACCCAACGCTGTTTACGCGGAAAAAATGCTCGGATCTGTGTAACGAAAACGAAAACGCGACTAACATTCTGTCCGCGATGTTCAGTTCAGGAATTCGTATCGAAGAATACAAAGAAGACTATATTTTGTATGATTTTCTACAAATTTCACCCCTTACATCTGTTCCAAAGAAAAATCATATAATTCCGTATCACTTCGCATATTTTTATTCAGAACATTCGAATTAAATTAGCAGTAATCTTTTTGGCATATTTAATTACAGATTTATTTAAAAGAAATAATATTTAATTTTTTTACTTCGCAAGTCATTTCATATGCAAGATCTTTTTTTATTTCAATATTCTCAATTCAGCTATTTGATATCTTCTTGTTTCTTTCTCTCTTTTTCTTCTATATTTCTCAAATTTTATACATAAAGTACCAAAGCGTCATCGTTTATGATAGGATTCTGTCACACAAAAAAAAAAAAAAGAAAAAAATCGAGCGTATTTAATGACGATGCAATCAGCGTGTCACTCGTGTTTTAGCGGCTTATTTTAAACACATTAAAGAGAGTTTGACGACGAAATCGTTGCTAGAACTTTCGCGGTAGTTATTCCGGCGCTCATCGATGCCCCGTGATTTCGCGTTTAATTGTGAAGCATTTAACCAGCATCGGCCCGCGGCGACAGGCAATGCCGGAGCAATGCCGGGAGTCGGAGTGTGCAGTCATTAAATTATTCCGGAATATGAGCCCAATGGGTGTCCCCGATCGGTCCGACTCTAAAATGGCCCGTGTTCGACAGAAGAATCGGCCGGTACATCTGACGCGATCTATACAACTCTCTCGCACGTGTTAAACGTTGCACCAGTCTTGTTTCGCGTCCGTCTCGGCGACGCTATTTTCTTTATATCCCGAGTGACCATATTCGAGAACTAACGAGCTTGTTCGAATCCTCGAAACTAGTTTAGATAAAAGGAAAGAAGGGTGATTTACTTTATAGAATATTGATTTATATATCCATGAAGACGCTGGAAAATAAATGAAATAGACATGTCGAATAAATGATCTTTCATGGTAAACGATTTCATGGTTTATGGTAAACTTATATATTGTATTATAGGATGTGCGTTTATATAAAAAAAAAATCAGAGTTGGATAATAGCTAGTTAAAAAGTTAGAAGTTAAATAATAAAATTAAATAATAAATTAATAATAAAATTAAAAGATCTATAACTTGTAATTTAGTCATTTTCAAATCAGTTAACTTTTAACTTCAACTTACAGTTATTTTTAATATATTAATTTGTTAATACTTTAACTTTTGAACATTTTCTAATAAATTAAAAGTTAGTTTTTCGCCTCTTCAGATATTAATATTTTTTCTTCAAGAAAAATATTAAATTAGACAATAAATTTGATTTTTATGTGTTGCAATTGTCATTACGGTCATATGATTTTTTACTTTAAATAGAAAGAAATAAGGTTTTTTTTAGCAAACTGTGAAGATTTTTAAAAAAATTAAATGATAAAAATGTTTTAATAGTTCTATTAAAATTCAAGAATTATTTATAACGTATTTATATTATGCAAAATTACAATTATTTTTGTTATAAATAATTTTGAAAAAAAAATTTTTTTCTTCTTAAAAAACGATATTATTCAATCTGTATTATTTTATAACCTTTATTTGCGAATAAAATATTAAATTTATATTTCATATTACAATTATTTTTCGTTCGAAATAGAATTAGTTATAACAGATTATTATAAACATAATTATTTTAATTTAATTAAATAATACTTTGTAAAATTATTTTTAATTTAAGTCAATTTTTATTTGTAATATTTAACATAACTATGTTAAATATAAATGTTTTGTAACCACTAACTTTCACTTTAATTATTAGTTAAGAGAAAAATCAGCCCTTATTAAAATCATCAGAATACATACATTAGATAACTATTTATATGACACACAAAGTACCTACATTTGATAACTCTCTCTATTCATCACTTTTATTAAATCAACAACATAAAGTTTCTATAAAAACATCTTGTAAATTCTTACTATTGAACTCTGATGATCTCGTTAACGGAAGAATTCAAGAGAAATGCTCGTTTCATAATATAAATCGCAACACTTCGTTTGCCCGAGCTTTATTCAAGAAGACTGATGTTGCTTCTAGATGTCTAATCGTTAATAGCTTCGATACAAACATTCCATTGGAGAATATCAGCATTGATTAACGGTGCACTTTCGATCGGGTGGATATCTCATTGCGGCACGTGCAGAATCTCGAGGTACCCCCCACGGCTTCGGGAGGTGCCCGAGCTCTCGGCTCTCGAACTCGGGATATGACGCGAACCAGTGACTCCGAAAAACGATCCTTCAGTAGTACGGTACGGCGCGGTGAGAAGGGGTGAGTGAGCGTGTCGGCAAACAAAATCGGTCGGTGGAATGCCATCGGCGGCTGGAGGCTTGCAGCGGGTAGCAGCGTCCAGGTTACTACTCTTCTCTTCGTGGCCAATGCGCACACACGTCGTCCCCGCAGGCTGAGCGAAACGCAAAAACGTCAGCAACAAGATCCTCGAATGATTTTTCGAACGCGCAACGAGCCCGCGAGCCGTCCCGCCGCATGAAACTGTTCCGCCCCGCCCCGCCCTGCCGTTTGTTCTGTACCCGTTTGCCATATCCGAATCGAATCGAACGTTTCCCCGATAAATAACGTCGCATTTTCGGCAAAAAGGCTTTTGCGCATCGTGCTCGCCGTGCTGGCAACGATGCGGAAAAAGCGCGCGTCAGACATGTTAGATCTGTCCAATTGTTGCCTCCTCCTCTGCCGATACCTCTTTTACCGCATTGGAAATCGCGCTCGTTACTAGTACACTCGATTATCGATATTTTATGGAAAACCATCGGCGGCTAATTACCGATACAAGGGAGAAATTCCTCTCACCCTTCGGCAACGTTCCACTATCGTACAGAAATTATAATCGAATAATTATAATTAACGAAATGTAACGCGATACCATTCGACGCGATTTCCATAGTTTGTGCCTGCAATGCGTGCAATAACTACAAAGTATCATATTGTTATACTTTGAATAGACAAATTTTATCATTGGGAAATATTGCATTGTCGCGTTTATTATTACAATAGTTTCCATCGCTTTACTCGACTTGCATCAAATAATAAAAAAAAATTTGAGAGATATCAGTGCAAAACATTTATTCTACCATTGTCTCCATCGATCTTCTTTCGCTATTAATCGCAATTTATTGTACATTAGTTGCCGTTCGTTTATTGTACATACTGTGTACTAATTAGCGCAGCAGTTACCCTTTGACTCGATTAATAACAACGAATGCGCTCAACGGTATCCAGCCACGTGCTGTGCCGCGTTTCCGAAATTTGTTCTACGGGGAGTTTACGGGGTCGCCAACCGGTCCATCGAGCGAAAGAAGGAAAAAAAGGAGAAGAACCGGGACGAGAAGGAGAGGAAAGGAGGGTCCGCTAGAGGGAGGTAGAAGAGGGCGAATCGTACCATTTGGCTCGGCTTCGACATCGGTTAACGCAGCGGGGTTACCGCGGACGCCTCGACGGACACATTGAGGGCGCCCGCTCGACTTGATAATCGCTTGCCATTCATACACTTTTCATTGGATTGCGATTGAGCATTAAGAAACCGGGAGACCCGGGGGCTACGTCGCGTATTGCGTCGCGCCCGAGCGACGTATTAGCATTAGGAGGCATCATCTCGAGTGTAAACACTGCATGGGCACCGCGGATTTAGTCACAGTCGAGAACCACGGGACGTCCCCGATATTATCGTCCCTTTTCACGTTTTTTACCTTTGGCAGCGTCCTTCGGTTGCACCCCAGTCGATACCCGCCTCGTAAACGCGACGGAGATCCATTAACCTCCTTAGGAACCGCTTCTTTTTAAAACGGTTTTAATCTAGTGCGGTTTTGTTAGGATTTAAATTTTAAATAAGGCACCGAGATCATTTTTAACTCCTTTATTATCTCTAATACGTCAAATATATACAAAGATTACATACATCGTCGTATGGTATCGGTATGAGAGAGGAACATTGACCTGATGTCATAATTTATAAAAATTATTCCGATGTTTACTTCATTATGAAGAATACTAAGGTATTTTTGGGGGGAGAAAGTTTTTTCAACGAATAAAAGTTTAAGAGATGAGGATGTAATGAGAAAAATATTTTATCTAGCAATTAAGTTACATTGTTAAACAATATTTTTTAATAATCTTTTATAAATAGACTCAGATTTATTTTAGTTATTTCATAAAATTCAATATAAAATAAACAAAATTATAATTTTTGTGACACGCGCATGTCTTACGTTACAAGAAATAAGAGAAAATAAAATACACATATAAAAAATCGTAAATAAGTTACATCTCGCGTATTAGCTTTTCACGAGTAATCTGCGCGTTAATACGCCCGACGGATTCCGTTCTATGTACATCCCTACAGCGAGATCGACCCAAAAACATCGACGAAAGAAATATCTGAAGGGAGGATCTGCCGGAACGCTGCTGACACAAGAAAGTTTCGTCTCCGAGGGGCGAGGAGAAGAAAGCGGTTTGTCGTTGGCCTTAACCGCGAGGATTCACGATTAAAGCCCACAAGCGGCGGACGTCGTCCATGATCCTCTTTATCCAATCCGAGGATCCGCGGGGCGTTAAATCCCTCACGGGAAAGCTCCGTAACTGAGCTCTCGCGTTCGCGCGCGCTAAGTCGGTCAGCTCGGTCCAGCCGAGCGAGAGGATCACAATACCGGCGCCGACCGCGACCGGGCACATCCATCCCCGACTTGCACGTTCTTCCCGTGAAAATTAGTTGCGCGAGAAATCCATGCTAATGTCGACTAATCGGCTGTAATCAGCCGTGAGAGCCGACGGCTGTCACGAGTCGACGTGTCGTTGAAGACCACGACGAGAGGGAGATCTTTTTCTCAGGTTGTATCAATGATCGCGATAGATTGACGCACAATCGGGCAGATTCCTATTGAAAACGATTGTATTTCTATAATTTAGAACTGCTTATTTCTACGCGGATTGATAGGTCAAGATGTAAGTAGATCTTTGAAATTATTTCAAAAGTGTAATTCTGTTGATGCGCAACTCTGTTGATGCGATTTATAAAATTAATAAGCTAAGGCAGATTTTATAACGTTTGAAAAATAATTGAAAAATAATGGTTTATTATTGATTTAAATGATTGATATATTTACAATAATATTAAGTTTTTATTCTCTCTTTATCTATTAATGCTGTCAGAAAATTTGAAGAAACATGAAAATATTGTACTGCTTGTCGTGTGCGAATAGATATAAAGTAGATATAATTTGTAATAAAAATATATACCATTGTATGTAATAAGAATACATAATTGTATTGAAAAAATATAGTATATAATCACAAACCTGTAAATAATTATTTTTTAAAACATATAAGATATAATAACTAGAAAGTTTCAAGAATGTAAATACAATTAAAACATTTTTTTTATATTAATCGTGCTAACTGCATTGCAAATATATTTAAATTATTTTTATTATGATGTCCTTTTATAATTTAGGAAACAAGAAGCTGAAGGACAACCAAGCGAATCTGCAACTCAAGAAGAAGCTTATGATCCTCACCTGAATCGTGTCACTTACAGACCAGTATCGTACGTTTACTTTTTTTAAACTATTTGTTCAATTCTAGTGTTTATTAGCACATTAAATGCCGGATCTAATTTGTTTGTCTTTCCAACAACGTTAAAGTAAAATTTTCACTATTAGACTATCTTTTAATAAAATATAATTGAGTTACGTAAAATTACCATAGCATTATTTAATACTTTCAATTGTTACTTTAATATTTATTTGTACATTGAATTAAAAATGTTACTTTTCACGGAAGAAATTGTGATGCCAAATAATGTTAAAACTTTTGAAACCCTCCTGAAAATCACGTGATTTTCATATTTTTTTCTTGAAAAATATATATACAAAATCAATCTTTATAATCTTCTTTTAAATATATTTAAAAATAAACAGAGAATTGTTTGATTGTTTAGTTCAATTTCAAAAATTATTACAACAAAAATTATGAGGGGGGGGGGAATAAGAGACTGAACTTTTTTAATTAAAATTCAAACAGAACTTATTTATAAAAGAAACATCAATATGTAATCATATGAAAAAAATCTTTTTTAATTATTCAAGTATATTGTCTCTTTTAATCCTGTTTTCTATACTATTTCAATTATTACATAACATTTCTTTTCTTTTGCAGAGATTTTGGGTCTCTCGCAAACTTAATAAAAAGCGCAGCCGGAACGGGTCTCTTCGCCATGCCGAACGCGTTCGCTTGTGTCGGGCTCTTTATCGGGATTGTCGGTACGGCGTTTATGGGATTATTGATAACCGGATCTCTTCAGTTGCTCGTTAGAATTCACCATATGATGTGCATTCGTGTGAGAAAACCCATCTTGGTGTATGACGAGGTGGTAGTCACCACTTTAACTACGGATGTGCGAAAACCGTGGCTCTCTCCGCGCGCTGCAACGTTCGTAATTTCAATAATCGCGTTATTTCATGCTGGATACCTTTCTAAATTTTTTGGAGTGAAATCTCACTCCAAGAGAATTAAAATACTGACATTATTGAATAAAAGTGAAAAATTTGTATTTGCTCTTGAATAAGAGTGGCAGATTTTCACTCTTTTTTTGAATGAGATCTAAAAAAGGAGTGAGATTTCTTTTCTTTAGAATGAATCTCGCTCCAAAAAAGAATGAAATTCTACTATTCTCATTCAATTACTTTTTTTCAATAGTGGCAGTATTTTAATTCTTAGAATAACATTTCACTTCAAGAAATTTAGAGAATAGAATGATAAACGTTTTATATAATATCAATGGAATACTTGATATTAAAATGCAATAATCATAGACACAATTAAACGTAATAAAAATACACACATTTTGCGAGACAAGCAAAGTGAGACGAAAACCCATCTCTAATTTACGGCGGATCAACTTACTCTTCACCTTTTTCTAGTTCTTATTATAGAATTAGAAAAACATGAAATTAATTGAACCGCCATTAAAATTAAATTATATATATTAATAGAAACGGGTATAAGTTTAGTAAACATTAAAAACAGAGCGGTTTGAATTTTCATTCATTTTAGACTCATCGTCGATGTCTCTATGTTAGCATGCTACATTGGGATTGGTTCGGTTTACGTCGTATTCATTTCCGGCATAATTCAAGAATGTATAGATGCCGAAAAAGCTATCAGTCAAAGCTACTACGCGCTCATGATATTTCCACTTCTTTTTGTAATGAACATGGTAAAGAATTTGGCGGACATCGCACCGATTTCTATTGTCGGAAATATTTTGCTCATCACCGCTGGGCTTATTGGAATCGTGTACGCTTTGAAAGATGGAATTGGCGACGAGTGGACCACGATTGGACCGCATGTAGACTTATATCCAAAGTTCATCGGCTTGGTTTTCTTCAGTATGTGTTCGCCGGGAGTGGTGAGTCTTTAATTTTTAATAAATCTTTTATTTTTAATTTTAATTTTAATCTCCTATAAATAATTAATTTTAATGCTGTTTAAATCATTAATTTTAATATTTAGAATTGTTTATAGATATTTCATTAAGGTTGGGAAAGATATTTTATAAATTACTAATAAATTAATTTTTAGCTTATTCGTTATAGAAATGAGTACAAAAAATAATATGAAATTGGAGCAAATGATAAAATGTAATATAAAAAATAAAATACTTGAACTTATTGTACTCAATTTCTATAATAAAAAGTAATTATAGAATTATAGTAAATTAAAGTAACTTTCCGAACTTTGATTTTCATTCTCGATAATTAACATGCATTTTATAATGACATTTTAAAATACAATATCTTTAGATTTTGGCGATAGAACATAGTATGAAAAAACCTTGGAATTACGTTAAAATGTGTGGAGTATTGAATTGGGGCATGATATTTTTGATCGTAATACACATTTTCGTCGGATCTATTGGTTATTTGAAATGGGGACCAGCTGCGCTTGGCAATTTTATTCGTAATCACGAGATTCTCGACGGGTAGTATAAGTGTGATTCCATTAACTAAAGATTATGATGCTAGTAGATACGCAACGTTTATTTCATATTTATTATTATATAACAGATATGTTGATTTATTTGATTAGAATGTCATTTAAGAAGAAACGAGTTCACATAAATTATCAGTTAAGGCAAAATTTGCAATTTTATTTGAGGGAAATGAATAGACATAGTTTTCTGCTTAGATGTTATTTATTATTATTATTTAATGTGTAGGAAAAATTAATTTGTAATAGAGAATTTATTAAAAATATAGGGATTTTTTAAATCAAAAACGTGCAAAGAAAATTTCGAATTTTGCTATTATTTCATGACTTTTAATTGTAAGAAAATAATATGTTATTTCCTTGTCTAATAAAATATTTTATTACAGAACTTAAAATAAACTTTATTAAAAAAATATTACTACAAAATAGTAAATCTTGTTAAATATTTTTAATATAATAAATTTAACATTACTAATTTATTTCCTATGTTAAATACAATATACATAGTAGTAAATAATAATAAATAAAAAACTGTATCTATTTATTATTTTCCCTAAATAAATTGAATTAAAAAATTAATAAATTGCAAATTTTACCTTTAATTATTACTAAGCTATAAATATAGAAATAATATATTTAAATATCGAGATTTAGAAATTGCGATTTAGAAAAAGATTATACGTAAATATTTTTATAGAAAGAAAAAGTGTTCATTAATGAATGCTATCGCAAAGTCCGTGATTTCTAAATATTTCTAAATATCTCTCGGTATTAATACATATCTCACCATGTCATCAATCATTTAGACCGACGTTAACGGCTCTGATAATGCAAGCGCTGGCAATATACTTCACATATGGATTGCAGTGTTACATGCCTATTAGAATTTTGAATTACAACTACGCCATACCAGCCATTGAAAAAGGTATCTTCAAAGGAACACCATTCCTCTGGGATCTGATCATTCGTTTCGGAATCACCTTCATTACGTGTAAACAATAATTTCTTCTTAAACCTCTTTCGCACATTGTCCTACTCTCTCGTTAGCTTCAGGGTAAACTCGGCCAAGCTCGATGGACCGCGGTGGATTGAATCTCCTTCCCTCTCTTTATCTCGAAGCGACCAACTCCGTAGGATCGATCAATCCATCCGATTACGATCCGCTTTGGACCCAGATATTACTAAAGTTCAGGAATCCACTTTCGCGGAATTTCATGTAGATGCTCAATTTTGTCGAAGTCTCGTTTGACCGGGATCACTCCGGAGTTACTACAATGTTACTAACTGCATTACTCGCTTTAATTTGCTCTAATTACGCTAATCGATACGCGCATCGTTGTTACTCCGCGAACGGAAATTTTCCGAGATAAAATGAGATCCTTGTATTTTGCAGGTATTCTGGCAGCGGCGATTCCGAAGCTCGATCTATTTACCGGTTTGGTCGGCGCTATATGTATATCCACATTGGCCACGCTGATCCCGGTTATCTTGTACATTCTCGTACATCACGAGGATTTCGGAAAGTTTAAATGGAGACTGATTCTGGGGATCTCCATGTTTTCTATTACTTTTATCGCGGCCGTGTGTGCTGTAACGACTAATTTGATCTTAATCGTGAAATATTTTAAATACGGGTGCGCAGCATCTTTATTATATATAAATACTAGAAATTAAAATATTAAAGATATAAGAAATTAAATATTAATACTCAATAATTGTAACATCTTACAATTTGATTTTGAATTTGGTACTTATCAGAATTTAAAATAAGTTTAGATTTGAGAAAATCGTATTAAACGATCTTGTTTTTAAACAATTTCTTCGATCAAACGAAAATCTGTTCAAAAATGATTTAAGTAAATTTGGAGATCATTTTTTATATAGCTTTTGTACTTGTCGAATAAAAGTTTCAAGCTCGTCCGGCATCTTGATTATGAATACGGTCGGAATATATTTGTATTTACGTCAACACAAAGAACGACGAGATGACAAACTTTTTTATTCTTTTCAGGGATTGAAGCCGGAGCGACGGCGGTGTTATCTTAATCTAGTCTCTGTTCGTAGTCCGCAGCCCGATGAAAATACCGTCGGCGCGCCTCGTACCGTTTTCCATTTTTGTCTTTGGGTGCAGCTCTAAAGCCGTCACCGTTTACGCGCGATTCAGCCTAATCACGGCAACTGCGCGGCGGCGGCGGCGGCGGCGGCGGCGGCGACGGCGACGACGACGGCGGCGGCTGGAAAAACCGCGAAAAAGGCGTGAAGCTCGTGAGGGACAAAAAGCGAGGAGAGCCAGAAAAAAGGAGAGAGAAAAGAGGGAATACGGCGAGAGAAGCGCGCACTGACGTATAATCGCGTCAGATCACCGAGGCGGCCATCGC